CAATCTATTTTGTGAAGTGCAGCAGTCCCTCCTTCAGCAAAGCACCCACACAGCATGATGCTGCCACCCCCGTGCTTCACGGTTGGGATGGTGTTCTTCGGCTTGCAAGCAACCCCCTTTTTCCTCCAAACATAACGATGGTCATTACGGCCAAACAGTTCTATTTTTGTTTCATCAGACCAGAGTACATTTCTCCAAAAAGTACAATCTTTGTCCCCATGTGCAGTTGCAAACCGTAGTCTGGCTTTTTTATGGCGGTTTTGGAGCAGTGGTTTCTTTCTTGCTGAGCGGCCTTTCAGGTTATGTCGATATAGGACTCGTGGAGTGGTTGAAAAATGAGTTTTAATGACTCCAACCTAAGTGTATGTAAACCTCCGACTTCAACTGTGTGTGTGTGTGTGTATATATATATATATATATATTTCCCTTTATTAGTTTCCAACCCCACCACCCCTTCCCTAATTGGAGTAAACTAGTGAACAACAACGCTTAGGCCTCTACCTCCAGCTTATACATACTATATACATTTTATGGACACAGTCAATTTTACAATTATTCTATTCTAGGCTCGTAATTTAACAATTTTATTCATATTTACAGATGGCATACAAGTTTGTTATTAAGGCACATGAACATTTACATGTTTCAGAAGGCATTTAAAAAAAAGTTTACGTTCAAATGGCGCTCCTGTGAAGTAGTGACACAAGCGACATACGCCTAGTTTCCTGGTCACAAATATTACATTCCACATTCTTCTCCTTGTGCCTCACTCACTTCTCTCCTTCTCTTTGGTGAACAAATATTAGTGAGTCTCTCCCTGAAGGGCATTTAGAGGGGTCCTACCTCTGTAATAGCTGTCCTTGTTAGTGCCTGAGTTTGGGGTGTTCTTTATGATAGGTGTTGGGCCCTCTGGCATTCAGTTCGGACGTCCTTCAGTTGTATGCTGAGGTGGTTTCAGCGGGAATTGGAGATTGTCTTTAAATTAATCTTGGCTAGGGGAATGTTTTAGTCTTGTTCTCTCTCTTTCTCCGGTTTCAAGAATTGCGTGACAAGCAGCAACCAAGGACTTGTTTGTTTGTTTCTCTCTCTCTCTCACCCCCCATTCTGTCAGTCAGTGCTCTGCCCGTTTCTCTCTGCTGGTTAAACAGCCTACGGTTGAGATGGCTCTCTTTGTTTCCTGTGCTGATGAAAACAATAGCAGCTGCAATGCAGCCATACTAATGAAGTCATATGGTTATAGCGTCTGTAAGACAGGTTATAGCATCTGTAAGACAGGTTATAGCATCTGTAAGGCAGGTGTAATCAATATATCTAATAAAAATGTGCTGTAGGGTAGAGCCAGGGTCCTGGCACAGGTGTTGATGTGACAGTGAATCGATGGTACAGATAGAGGACTGTGGAGTGCAGCGAGCAGGAGAGACCTCTACAATGAAGAGCCATTCAATCTCACACACACACACACACACACACACACAAATAAACAGACACTATAAACTCACCAAAAGAAACGCACAAACACACACCGATGGAGGATTAGTGGAACAGATGCACTCATTGACTTCCTCATCAGAGCCCTAATTACAGGGCTGTCGCTGTAGAAACGTCGAGTCCCGAGTGTCTATCTGGCACACAGCAAGAGATCATGTGACCCTTCGTGTTTTTTTTGTGTGTTTTTTTTTTTTGGGGGGGGGGGGGGTGGGGGGGTGTAGATCAGCTTTAATATTGCAGATAGATTGTAACTTCCATCAATGTAATTGTTTGCATGACTTCAAATCCCCCATGTTTTTTCTCTCTCGCATATATATATATATATATATATATATATATATATATATATATATATATATATATATATATATATATATATATATATATATATATATATATATATATATATATATATACATACAGTTGAAGTCGGAAGTTTACATACACCTTAGCCAAATACATTTAAACTCCAGAGGACATTTCTCCAAAAAGTACGATCTTTGTCCCCATGTGCAGTTGCAAACCGTAGTCTGGCTTTTTTATAGCGGTTTTGGAGCAGTGGCTTCTTCCTTGCTGAGCGGCCTTTCAGGTTATGTCGATATAGGACTCGTTTTACTGTGGATATAGATACTTTTGTATCTGTTTCCTCCAGCATCTTCACAAGGTCCTTTGTGAAGGAGTCTCCTTTCTGAGCGGTATGATGGCTGCGTGGTCCCATGGTGTTTATACTTGCACACTATTGTTTGTACAGATGAACGTGGTACCTTCAGGCGTTTGGAAATTGCTCCCAAGGATGAACCAGACTTGTGGAGGTCTACAATTTGTTTTCTGAGGTCTTGGCTGATTTCTTTTGATTTTCCCATGATGTCAAGCAAAGAGGCACTGAGTTTGAAGGTAGGCCTTGAAATACATCCACAGGTACACCTCCAATTGACTCAAATGATGTAAATTAGCCTATCAGAAGCTTCTAAAGCCATGACATCATTTTCTGGAATTTTCCAAGCTGTTTAAAGGCACAGTCAACTTAGTGTATGTAAACATCTGACCCACTGGAATTGTGATCAGTGAATTATAAGTGAAATAATCTGTCTGTAAACAATTGTTGGAAAAATTACTTGTGTCATGCACAAAGTAGATGTCCTAACTGACTTGCCAAAACTATAGTTTGTTAACAAGAAATTTGTGGAGTGGTTGAAAAACTAGTTTTAATGACATTCAACCTAAGTGTATGTAAACTTCCGACTTCAACTGTACATATATATACATTTCCTTTAAAAAAATATTTCCCTTTATTACTTTCCAACCCCACCACCCCTTCCCTAATTGGAGTAAACTAGTGAACAACAATGCTTTGGCCTCTACTTCCAGCTTATACAGACTATATACATTTTATGGACACAGTCAATTTTACAATAATTCTATTTTGTTTGTTTTTACTCCTGAACTTCCTCTATCCTCAACCTCTCCGATCATTTTCATGATGTCCATCTGGTTTGCTTCTATATGCCATATCTTTCTAACTGTGCTCTTTCACAAAAGCTCTCAACCTATAACCTATATACTTATTATGGACACAGTATGCTTTACATTAGTTATCTTGTTATTAGTTGTTGTTAGTTGTTATTAGTCCCATCCTTCAGCTCCATTCAACACCTCCCATCTATCTCTTAACACCATCAATATTGGACTTCTATTTGCCATATATTTTTCAACTGTACTGTGATGTTTCACAAAAGTTCTGAACCCATCTATTCTCATTGTTTCTACAGATTGTAAATTGAAGAGAAACATTTTTGCTAAAAGTATTATTATATTATTGATCGATTTGACTATGACTTTTCAGATCACCCAGTAGTGCTATCTGCAGGGTTAGCTCCAGGTAAATATTGCAATCCTTCAGCCATTCCTGGACCTGTGACCAAAAACAAGCTACAGATGGACAGTACCAAAACAAATGATCTAATGATTCTGTATCTTCGCAGCAAAATCTGTAGAGCTGGGAAGATTGTATCCCCCATATAAATAACATACTATTGGTAGCAAGAATTTTGTATAATTTTAAATTGAAAAATTCTAAGTTTTGAATCCGGCGTCGTTTTTGCGTATCAGTTCATAAACACTATCATGTGACACTTAGATTGCACACAGGTGGACTTTATTTAACTAATTATGTGACTTCTGAAGGTAATTGGTTGCACCAGATCTTATCTAGTGGCTTCATAGCAAAGAGGGTGAATACATATGCACGCACCACTTTTCCATTATTTATTTTCTAGAATTTTTTGAAACAAGTTATTTTTTTCATTTCACTTCACCAATTTTGACTATTTTGTGTATGTCCATTTACATGAAATCCAAATAAAAATCAATTTAAATTCCAGGTTGTAATGCAACAAAATAGGAAAAACACCAAGGGGGATGAATACTTTTGTAAGGCACTGTATACACTAAGTATACCAAACATTAGGAACACCTTCCTAATATTGAGTTGCACCCCAGCCTTTTGCCCTCAGAACAGCCTCAATTCGTTGGGGCATGGACTCTACAAGGTCTCGAAAGCGTTCCACAGAGTGTTGCTGCCCCATGTTGACTCCAATGCTTCCCACAGTTGTGTCAAGTTGACTGGATGTCCTTTGGGTGGTGGACCATTCTTGATACACACAGGAAACTGTTGAGTGTGAAAAACCCAGCAGCGTTGCAGTTCTTGACACAAACTGGTGAAACTGGTACCTACTACCAAACCCTGTTCAAAGGCACTTAAATATTTTGTCTTCCATTCACCCTCTGAATGACACACATATACAATCCATGTCTGTCTATGTCATGGAAAGAGTGTTCAATAAATGTTTTGTACACTGTGTATATATTCATACAAACACACTCTCTGTCACGCCCACACATTTATTCACTCACACCCATGCACCCATCTTTCCTCATACTTTCAATCTCTGCTTTAGACCCATTTCCACAGGCCGATTTTAATAGCTGTCAAAGGAGAATTCACTGGACGATTAACTCTGCTGTTCCAGCAGTTTGTCTTTTAGCACTTTATCTTTTCCACTCAGAGTCCTGAAGATGTTTAACTCCTTCTGCCTATGGAATGACTTTACCCCTTCACACACACACAAACACACACACTGAGCATGACCAGATCCCTTGGCTAAAGCTCCTCTCCATCTGCCCAGAGGTCCAGACACACACCACCTATAGCCTCTTTTCCATCCACCCAGAATAACTTTGTATATTCTTTGTCCTTCACACACATACTTGTCCTCTCATACTATCCAATTGAGTAACATTTTGATTAATTATGTTTTCTTGATGATTGATATACCCCCTTAACTCTACATGTGAATCAGATTATTCATACTATTAATTCATCATGGAAACTATTCGGTGGTGGAGCTCGAATTTGATTGGGAAAAAAACATTTTGAACCTTGAACCGTGAGTGTTAGGGCTGGGGGGTGTGGTTGAAAGGTAAAGCATGGTCTCTTTGATGTAACACTAAGAATGTCCTTTTCCCATATCCATGTCTCCCTCCAGCTGGTGAGGAGGATCTATAAGGGAATTCCCCTACAGCTCCGAGGAGAGGTGTGGTGTCTGCTCCTCGACGTTCCCAAAATAAAGGAGGAAAAGAAAGACTTCTACGAGGTATGTTCTGGAAACACCAGCCAGAACCTCACAGCAGAGAGTTAACATCCTCCCTCCTTCCTCCCCGGGAAAAGTCATGTAGGAACTATACACAGTCACACTGTAGTTGACTCTCCTATTGTTTCTCTCCACTCAGCCAGCTTCATTAAAGCCCAGGCCTCATTAACATTCATAACCAGGCCAGCAAACACTGGATTTATTAGATTTCAGAGCTTCATCATTATTACGGGGGAAGATTAATGTGTGTGGAGGGGGAGGTGTGGTGCGTGTCAGCACTGGAGTACTGAGTCTAGCGACAACTGAGCTTTATTAAAACTCAATAAATATTTGCGGGATGGATCAGTGGTCTTATTCCTTTGTATCTCACTCTCTCTCTCACACACACACACACACGCAAACACACACTCCCTCACTGGCTCTCTGTTGTTGTGTTTCCTGTGTGTAGAAGTTGAAGCTCAGGGCGCGGGGGCTGTCTCCTGACATCCGTCAGATTGACCTGGATGTGAACCGAACCTACCGGGACCACATCATGTTCATGCACCGATATGATGTCAAGTCAGTATCTCCCTCCATCTGACAAACAACATCTGCACTTGGACACTACAGTACACGCGCGCAACACAGGGACCACATAATATTCATGCACCGGCCCGATGTCTAGTCAGTATCTCATACTCAACATGCTGAGAAGTACAACATCTACACTTAGTCACTACAGAACAGTACCCATAATTAGGGCCTGGAGTTTTTTCTTGACCATGTGCCCTGACTAGGAAAAACTCCTGGTTGTAGGGGGTTACAAAAAAAGCCTGGCCCATTACACACATCTATCTCTCCATACCTCTTTCTGTCATAATGGTGGCTGACATTGACATTTCCCTATAAGGAAGTGAGAGGACACACGTCCCTTTTCTGTGTTTTTACTTGATGACGTCATGAGGAGAGCCAGAACCAGGGGCCCCTGGGAAATAAACACTGTGACCTGCAGAGTCAGAGAGCAGCATGGACCAGGCACCCACAGCCTCACAGGAACTGAACACATTGCCTCAAAACTGACCATGACACAATACAACTACCAACTACCTCAAACACAACTATACCATGAAAGCATAAAACTTCCAACTACCTCAAACACAAAGGTTGCCATTACTGGCAGCCAAATATAGGAAGTAAAAATCACTAATGCAGTTGTTCATCTCATAAAGAAGACAATATGACTATTAGAACATTTGAATGATGAGAGTAGGCCATTCCACCAATGTAACCCGAATACAGTCTTGGTTGGACCAGGTCTCTCTTGAAAAATAAATGTAAAAAGCAACCTGAATTCAACACCTTTTGTGGAAAGCTCCAGAGGTGATCCTGTTAGGTAACCTGTACTTCCAGCAGAGTATGTCTAGTCATTAGTAGATTGACTGTTTGTGGTTGTTTTCAGGCAGCAGGCTCTGTTCCACGTCCTAACAGCCTACTCCATCTACAACACGGTGAGTCACACTACACACTTAATGAATCCCCCTAAACCTCTACGCTTCCTCTTCTTTACTCTACCTCTCCTTTTCCCAATCAACTTTTTTCTACAACTTCCTTCTCATCTCCTGTCCCTCATCCTTCTTTTTCCCCATCCAGCTCCTCCTGATCATCCTTCCCTGTTCTCTCCAGCCACCATCCTTTAATTGTCCTGTGTAGAAGTATACAAGTGAGTTTGTGTGTGCAGTTTTGCATGCATGTTTGTCTATACATATACATGATAAAACTGTGTGTGTGTGTGTGTGTGTATATAGGAGGTGGGGTACTGCCAGGGCATGAGTCAGATCACTGCTCTGTTGCTCATCTATATGAATGAAGAGGATGCCTTCTGGGCTCTGGTCAAACTGCTGTCTGGACAGAAACACGCCATGCACGGTAAACACACCAACACACATCAAAAACACACTCTCTACACACTGTGTAACATCCTATATAAGTGTTAGACTGTCATTCAGTAGCCCATGCAAAACCTACGCCTAAGCCATACCATACATGTGCACCATATGGGATAAAACTCAATTCAGGGGTAGCATACTAGACCAGACACACTAAGGAGGCATGAACAGCCATGCCCTAGACCAGATAGTATAGTTATCTGGGATCTTTTACTCCAAACAATCTCACATACCTTTTCAAGGACGTAGGCTATCTATTCTGGGCCCCATAAAATGTGAGGAAACACATTTATAGAGAACACCGCCCCCCTTACAACTTCCTACCAAATATCTATAGAGCTCACCCAATCTCACGTCCCTTCCATTCAAACCCACACACAACAAGAACCACCAGATTAATTTCCTATATTTATCAAATGCTTTGAAAACGGACGTGAAGAGACTGTTAATGTCAGTCTCTCCCTCCCTCCCTCCCTCCCTCCGTCCCTCCCTCCCTCCCTCCCTCCCTCCCCTCCACTCCAGGGTTTTTTATCCCTGGCTTCCCCAAGCTGATGCGCTTCCAGGAGCACCATGACCGCATCCTCAAGAAGTTGATGCCCAAACTGAAGTCACACCTGGTGAGGCCCGCAGAGAACACACACACACAGAGCCTGGGGAGGGGGTAGTGGTAAATAAATGACAGCCCTAAGCCTGCTGGTATGGGGGACTGAGTTGAGTGCCACAGCAGCAGCCTTTGATGTGTTGAGATTAAAGGGTGGTGGAATGAGAGAGAAATGCCATGTCTACACACACAACCATGCACACACACACACACACACACACACACACAGACATGGACTGCTTTTAATATGGGGCCTTGGGCACAGTGGCTGATTCACCACTGCTGTTAAACCATTGTTTAATACTCATGCACGTACACACACACACACACACACACACACACACGCAGAGTGGTAACGGCTCATTGTTCTCTATGTTTCAGGACACACAGGAGGTGTTCACCAACCTGTACACTATGAAGTGGTTCTTCCAGTGTTTCCTGGACAGGGTGAGTGGCTCAATCCCTTCCCTCTGTGTCCTTTAGGCCTGCAGCTTTTATAACATGGGTGTTGGGCTAAAGAAAGTGTTAAATTATATTATGAAAATATATTTATTTCTCCTCCATTCTGTCTCTCTCATTCTCTCTCTCTCCCTATCTCTTTCTCTCCCTCAGACCCCCTTCACCCTGACCCTGCGGATCTGGGACATCTATATCATGGAGGGAGAGAGAGTTCTGACCGCCATGTCCTACACGGTCCTCAAACTGCACAAGAGTAAGACTATAACAGTAGGACTGTGCTTTTGTGACCATGTGGTTGTCTGTGACCATGTGGTTGTCTGTGACCATGTGGTTGTCTGTGACCATGTGGTTGTCTGTGACCATGTGGTTGTCTGTGCGCCACCAGACTGTTTTAACCCGCTGAACTAAAGCCCCAGCTTCAGGTCTCAGGCAAAGATACTCATCATGTGAGAATGGTTCACTGAACCACCTCCGCTAAACTCGAAGACACGTGCCTGTCCTCAAACTGCACAAGAGAAAGTGTTCTCACACTGGTGTGTGTGTGTGTGTGTGTGTTTGCAGAGCACCTGTTGAAGCTGTCCATGGAGGATCTGGTGGAGTTTCTGCAGGTGACTCTGGCCAAGGACTTCTTCTTTGAGGATGACTTTGTGATTGAGCAGCTGCAGAACAGCATGATGGAGCTAAGGAGGTCCAAACTGGAGCTGGCCGCACCAGGTAGCCTACTGCCCCCAACACATCTCATACACACACTAATTACATTAGGCTATACATTTATCACACACAGATTAGACAACTGCACACGGATGTATCAGCCTGCACATGTTACTTCACTTACATTCACCCTCAACCACACAGTTACAGTTCATTCATACACACACACACACACACACACACACACAGAGCTCTCCTGCTCGCTGCTGTGTAGTAATATTACCAGTGGTAGTAGTAATTAGTGATAGCAGTCTGTGTCTAATCTTGCTTTCTCTCTCTTGCTTAATCTGCCTTTTTTCCCTCTTCTCCCAATCGTTCGGCCCAGCCTACAAAAGTGTGGGTGGGAGTGGGGGCCACATCCCCTCCTACAACAGTAACCGGTGGGCTATCCTGACTGGTGTTCCCCTGTTTCATCATCTGTCCATCCCTCCCTCCGTTTTACGTCTGTCTGTCGCCTGTCTGTCCAGCAGCCCTGGGGTTCTCTTACAAAACATTGTCACAATGTTACCGCAACCTTATACAGTAGCTACTGCAACTCAGGCCAGGCTGCTATTGCTTTAAAGCTACCTTGGAGTCTTGTAATGGAGGGATTCTCCTTCTCCATTTCCCTCTCTCTATTACTCCCATACTCTTTGTCTCTGACTGCTTTTAGCTAGGTACTGTAGAGATAGTCATTGTCAGACAGTAGTAACCATTTAACTCATACTGTACAGTTAATAAGATACTTTGAGTCAATAATTTCAGTTAATAAGATACTTTCATCTTGCCTGAAGCTTTGACTGGTCACCACTCAACATTGTAGGCTACATAATGGCTTAACCTCAGAATGTCCTAATGCACTGTGGCATCCTACCACCCTGGTTGTGTGTGCGCACACACACACGCACACACACACACACACCGTGAGAGAGCTATTTTCTCTTCCTGGTGACAGGATAATAAGCATCATCCAACACTGGAGGCTTTTTGTTCAACTGCAGCACTTGGAGCTCATTTTTAACCCATCTGCTACCAGTGAACCAACCACATGTCATGTTGAGAAATGGAGATTCAGAAGCCAAAACTCTTCAAACTTTGACAGTTAAATTGTTGGGTGAGGTTTGTAATAAGAGCCTAAACAAAGGTTTGAATAGGTTGTTGTCTGTGTTTACATTTGATTGTGGGGTGGAGACTGCATCCTACCCTTAACTTGGAAACCCTAAAGCACCTGTGTTAGTGAACACATATATTTCCTGGGTGAATCCTCAATACTCTCTTAAGTGGCTTCCTCTCCTGAGTCCTCACTGAGAAGACTGGATGGGTGGGAGCAATAAAGCACTGATCTGGGCTGTGTCCCAATACATTTGAATGGCTTCCGCTTCTTGTCTCCTTTCCTTTATCCCCAACCAAAGAGCCATTATTTCTCTTATCCAGGCTTTTCAGATCAGTGGTTCTAAGTGAAAGTAGAGAAGCATAGGAAGCTGTGTAGGAGTGATGGATGCTGTGACTTACGATATTGTTTTCTCCCATTCAGTCAAAGGACAGGGAAATGGGACATATTGTTGGAACATCACTTTCTTACACAATGGAGAGCCACTTTAGTTTGTGGATTCAATACCAGTCAGTGACAGCACTTCCTGGTTCAAACTCACACACTTCCTGGTTAAAACTCACAACACTTCCTGGTCCATCACATCACTTCCTCTTCTCCAGTTCGTGTCTCCTGGTTTCTATGGTGATTGTGGACACACTGTTCCTACCAGAGTCCAACACATCCAGTGTCACACCTTCACTGTCTGTTTCTCTGTATATTTGTGTCACCTGTACTGTGCTTTCTTTTCTTGACATGGGTAGATACAATTATGTAGTAATAATAATAATAATGTACTCATCAAGTAATAGAGTTTTTAAAACTGCATAGAGTTGATGTATTTATGGTTTGTGTCCTAGAGTGCTAACTCAGTCATGTTTCCTATTTTACCTCTTACAAGTGTTTCTAAAGTCTTTAAGGACAGTCCGTTAGCCAATTTCAGTCTGACCTTTTGAAGTCGCTGTCTGCTGTTGCAGCTAAGTACATTTTAATGAAATTGAGTGAAAACGTATCATTTCAGAGTCTACACTTTTGAATGGCACTTCCTAATTGGACGCCTCTGGCTCGCACTCTGGGAATTTAATATAAGATATATTTCAGATGTTGTATTTTTTATGTCCTTGGTTGGTTTCTCGCCTGTGGAGACGTGATTATTCAGTGTTGTGGTGAATGTAATTCTCTCTTTATTTTCACCCCCCGTCGGCAGTGATGTTGCATGAATCCATATTGCCCTTTTTTAATATTCATAGTTTGAAAACATGCCTTTGCCGTTTTGTGTTCTCCCTCCAGGTGCTCTAACCTGTCTTTCTGTTGTATCTGTGCAGGTAAAGAGGATGAGTATCCCAAGAAGCTTCTTGGGCAGCTTCCCCCAGAGCCGGCGGTGAACCAGAACCACGTGGCGAATGGTCAGAGCCACGCCCAGCCGGCCGAGACCCCCAAAAGCACCCAGCCCCTCCCTCGAGCGCCAGCGGGACAGCCGGCCCCCCAGCCGGGCGCGCAGGGACTCCCTGGAGAAGCTGGTCCGGCAGCACAAGGCTGAGAAGAGGGAGGCCAGATCACGGGGGTCCGGAGAGAACTCTGTCCCCCTCGACCCCCACTGCAAACAGCCCTCCGTCCCCACCCTCGCCACCCCCGAGAGAGGGTCCACACCGACACCTACACCGTCCCCGGCGCCCTCGCCGCACCCCAAGCCTCCTACAAAAGTGGTGGACGGAGGGAAGCCTCAGAGCCACGCCACGGCCAACCACAACTCCAATGCCGCCTCCAGCAGCTCTCGTAAAGACATCGCCCCGCGCTGGGTCAAGCCCTCTGAGACCAAGCTGGAGGCGGCCAAGGCAGCGGCGGCCAGGGAGATCCAGCTGAGCCGCGGTGGTTCCCCGGTGCCCTCCAGCCCTGACGACACCCTGCTGCTAAACCGCCGGCCCCGCTCCAGGGGCTTGATCCCAGGCTCCAACCGCGGCTCCAATGCCTCTCAGTACGACAACGTGCCCGGGGGGGCAGAGCAGAACTTTGTGGAGGTCCTGGAGCTGGAGAGGCCACCGTCGCAGATGAGGCACAGCGAGACACCGTCCCTACCCCCCACCCGCATCCCCAGCCTGCAAGGGAGCATGGTCTCCATAGAACCAGTGGCTAGGCAGGCCAAACACCCCATCCCCACTGCCCTGTCCCTCAACAGCCCTGCTGGGGGTAAACCCTATGTCCACCCCAATGCCCAGAGCCAGTACCACACGCCCCCCCAGCAGTACTCCCCCGGCCGGCCTGCTATGGTGCCACTCCACTACCCCCCCTACAGTGTGAGCCTTGAGCAGAGGGGACTGGGAGAGGACAGGCACTACAGCCCCCTGCCCTCCCGAGGCACCCCACCTATGGGTCTGATGTATGGGGAGAGGGGGTACGCCACCACCCAGCGGCCCAGCCTCTCTCCGGAGAAGGCCCTCATGAACAACTCCTACGCCACCACCCACAGGCAGCCTCCCAGCTCAGCCCATCCCCCCCGGACCACTGTGGCCCCCCGCACCATACAGCAGCTGGACAGCCCTGGTAGTAACGCCTCCACATACCTGCGCCAGCCCACACGGCTCACCTCCGCTGCAGCCGCCCATCCGATGTACCCTCCTGTTGACTACAACAGGTACGAGGGGCGCAGGAGAGGGGAGCAGACCCCGCTCTACCTGCCTGAGGGGCCAGGCCGGGGAGGGGCAGTGGAGGTGCAGCCGTGGGGGCAGCAGGAGGGTGGTGACATGACACATGCCCCTGGAGGTGTACCCCGCTCCCCCAGCTTCCAGAGGGCCCAGATGTCCCCCGTGCAGGAGTTCACCTTCCCCCCTGGCCCTGACAGCCTGGCTCACTACAGGACACAGTTCCAGGAGCAACAGCAGCCCACCATGAGGCAGCAACTCCCCCCGCTGTTCGGAGGACCACACTACAGGCACGCACCAGAGGCGTTCACCATGCAGGAGTCTATGTTGCTGTGAGAGGATGGAGATGGAGGTGTAGTCACTGACACTGTGGCAGCAGACACAAGCGGTAGTCCTACTAGTGTTAAGGAGTTTTAGTTTGGTTTGTTTGTGCTTTATATGTGACGTACTGACCTTAAAAGTCATACTGCATCATGAATGCTGCAGGACACCAGTTTCTGAAGTTTTTATGGATCCCTTTTAAAAACCCACTGAAGATTGATTATTTATTTTTTGAATGTTAAATCATTAACAGCAGGAGTTTAAAAGTGTGTATATATATGGATATCTGTCTTTTAGAGTTTAAAATGTACAGTAAATGATGTTTTGTTAATATACTGAGTTATTTAAACGTTATCAGTAGCAGGGGACAATTCTCCTGGCGAGACAAACTCAGTGATTCCTTTTTCCTTTTTTTTTTTTTTTTTATGAGTTACTTCCAAATTATCTATTTTAGAGGTCAATTAACTCTATGCTTGTGAATATCTTATTTTTCAGAGAGAAGAAACAAAGCTATGTCAAATAATAGAATTACGGAACAGTGACGATTAAAAGAATTGTCGAAAATATATCTTTCATTTCAATTTTGAAGCACCTCCACTGTATAACGACCGTTTTTCAAACGAGGAGTTTATTTTTTCATTGGATTATTCTGTTGTCGCTCAGTTTAGTGACCACTGTAATTTCTAGTCATCGCAATGCATTTCTGTAACCCAAATACAGTGTGTACAGTATGTTTGGATATGGAGGCCAGTGTCTGCTTTATACCCCATATTTAGACTGTAAACTCTATCAACAGTGAACTATTTTGTCGTCCGTAGAAAAAAACACCCCTTTTCTCCCATGAAGTAATGTATGATTTATTTCCCTCTGAAAAGTTTACATGAATATTAATTGCATATTAACAGTACAGTATTTTCGTCACCAAATAGTAATTGTCATCTGCAAGAGGTTTCTATAGAGGGGGAATGTGTATTAGTATTGAAGTACTTACTAAGCCGCAATATGCTTTAATTGCCAATTCATGTCTTATTTTCACCAATCACATTAACTGCTGTTCAGTTACCAGCACTTTTACATATTAAATCATTCCATACACACACATCAATACTTACTGACGTATACATACTACTTTGTAGTGTGACGTCACACATTTGAATACATATTCAACCACCTACCCTTTTATTGCTGATTCTCAACTATGTACTTTTTGATACAATGCTTATCATTCTCAAACAGTATAACGATACTGTTATTATTTGAACATGCAAATAAGTTGTTCCTTTTTTTGTAAAATAATTAATTGCAAAATGGTTTATCAGATCATTCTTCAGAGACTTTTCTTTACTTAATAAAACAAATTGGGGTGTGCATTTCTGATCATGTGTCTGTATATTTGTGTGTGCGGATTTATTTCTGTAAGTATGTTATTGCTATTCCCTTCATATATCAGTGAAGTTTCTTCATACATATTCTACATGCTTGGACCACAAAGCTCAAGCAGGATACTGGCTAGTGACTTACACTACCGTTCAAACGTTTGGGGTCACTTAGAAATGTCCTTGTTTTCAAAAGAAAAGCAATTTTTTTGTCCATTTAAAATATCATCAAATTTATCAGAAATACAGTGTAGACATTGTTAATGTTGTAAATGGCTATTGTATCTGGAAACGGCTGATTTTTAATGGAATATCTACATAGGCGTACAGAGGCCCATTATCAGCAACCATCAGTCCTGTGTTCCAATGGCACGTTGTGTTTGCTAATCCAAGTTTATCAAATTGATCATTAGAAAACCCTTTTGCAATTATGTCAGCATAGCTGAAAACTGTTGTGCTGTTTAAAGAAGCAATAAAACTGGCCTTCTTGAGACTAGTTGAGTATCTGGAGCATCAGCAATTGTGGGTTTGATTACAGGATCAAAATGGCCAGAAACAAATAACTTTCTTCTGAAACTCGTCAGTCTATTCTTGTTCTGAGAAATTAAGGCTATTCCATGCGAGAAATTGACAAGAAACTGAAGATCTCGTACAACGCTGTGTACTACTCCCTTCACAGAACAGCACAAACTGGCTCTAACCAGAATAGAAAGAGGAGTGGGAGGCCCCGTTGCACAACTGAGCAAGAGGACAAATACATTAGTGTCTAGTTTGAGAAACAGACGCCTCACAGGTCCTCAACTGGCAGCTTCATTAAATAGTATCCGCAAAACACCAGTCTCAACGTCAACAGTGAAGCGGCGACTCCGGGATGCTGACCTTCTAGGCAGAGTTGCAAAGAAAAAGGCATATCTCAGACTGGCCAATAAAAACAAAAGATTAAGATGGGCAAAAGAACACAGACACTGGACAGAGGAAGATTGGAAAAAAAGTGTTATGGACAGACGAATCGAAGTTTGAGGTGTTTGGATCACAAAGAAGAACATTTGTGAGACACAGACCAAATGAAAAGATGCTGGAGGAGTGCTTGATGCCATCTGTCAACCATGGTGGAGGCAATGTGATGGTATGGGGGTGCTTTGGTGGTGGTAAAGTGGGAGATTTGTACAGGGTAAAAGGGATCTTGAAGAAGGAAGGCTATCACTCCATTTTGCAACGCCATGCCATACCCTGTGGGCGGCGCTTGATTGGAGCCAATTTCCTCCTACAACAGGACAATGACCCAAAGCACAGCTCCAAATTATGCAAGGACTATTTAGGGAAGAAGCAGTCGGCTGGTATTCTATCAATAATGGAGTGGCCAGCACAGTCACCGGATCTCAACCCTGTTGAGCTGTTGTGGGAGCAGCTTGACTGTATGGTATGTAAGAAGTGCCCATCAAACCAATCCAACTTGTGGGAGGTGCTCCAGGAAGCATGGGGTGAAATCTCTTCAGATTACCTCAACAAATTGACAACTAGAATGCCAAAGGTCTGCAAGGTTGTAATTGCTGAAAATGGAGGATTCTTTGACAAAAGCAAAGTTTGAAGGACGCGATTATTATTTATATTAAAAATCATTATTTCTAACCTTGTCAATGACTACATTTCCTATGCATTTTGCTATATTTCCTATACAAACTCATTTTATGTATGTTTTCATGGAAAACAAGGACATTTCTAAGTGACCCCAAACTTTTGAACGGTAGTGTATATCCCTGGAAAAGGGGAGAGCAAGTGCCAACATTATTCATCCGCTGATATTTGAGGAAACACTGCCCTCTAGTGGAGAGACACTGTTCAGTCAAAATGAATTGCAACCCTCTTCCAACCCTAAGCAGCTGCCAACACCCTCATCTTAATAAAGGATTATACCGGCCATTTTTCCAGGACCCCCCACGTGCTTTACTAAGAGTATTGCATATTATTTTTCACTTCGCACATTGTGTCTTGTACTTTATTTATTGAGACCAAAATATTTGTATGTGGGCCAAACTAGGAATTTGGTCATAGCAATAGGCTACCATAAGATCATTACAAAGTTAAATTCTCAACACTCCACTCAATTTGCCTTTCATCAAGCCTTTGCTTCTCAAGGGATACAATGGTGCCATCATGTGGCGGTACACTGCTAATGCATAGAACATGGAACATTACTGTACTATATTAGCACCGTCTTTCTTTGTTAGTCGTACAGACACTGTTAAACATTAGATGGACGCCTCAATCCCACAGCCACCAGGTCACCTCTCACATACCTGTTGTCTTTCATTAACCAGTGCAGGCTCAACTAAACACAGGATCTATTATACAATACTTCCTTTGTTTCCCATTCATGTATTTGGGCCTATTATGTTTAAATGTGTCTACATATCAAATAATAAGCAGATTGGGTTCTTTACTAAATTTATTTAAAAAATGTAATACATGAATGGGGTAATCTGAATGCTACATCCATTTTTGAAGAATATATCTTAATAAATTCCTCATGAGCTTAGTTCTATTGTCTTACCCCATCAGAACCGCAAAATATACGCTTGTTTTACTCCTTTTGAAACAATGTACAGCCTGAAAACATGTTTAAAAATATGTTTTTATCTCATGGATGGTCAGTCCTTGCATCCCTAGCTCTGTCTATTAATTTTAAAGTGGTTACATTTCTCCAGACCCATCAGCTTTTTACCAAATCAGTGGCGGGGTGCCCTGCTTTGTTACTGTTTGAACTGCAGATTGCCCCTTTAAACATTTACATTCGGTTTCTCACATTGAGCAGTTTTTCTACAAGAATTGCCCAATCTCTGTTCTGAGTGAGTCCCTTGAGCATGGGTGCATGGTGTACCTTTCCTAGAACCTTCACCTCACCCCCTCCTAAGGCACATGAAGACAGCCCTGCAGTATCCCTTCATCAGATAATCACTTCAATAAACAGCAGACATCAGTCATTTTACATTTACATTTTTAGTCATTTAGCAGACGCTCTTATCCAGAGCGACTTACAGTTAGTGAATACATATTTTTTTATACTGGCCCCCCGTGGGAATCAAACCCACAACCCTGGCGTTGCAAACGCCATGCTCTATCAACTGAGCTACATCCCTGCCGGCCATTCCCTCCCCTACCCTGGACGACGCTGGGCCAATTGTGCGCCGCCCATGAGTCTCCCGGTCGCGGCCGGCTGCGACAGAGCCTGGATTCGAACCAGGATCTCTAGTGGCACAGTTAGCACTGCGATGCAGTGCCTTAGACCACTGCGCCACTCAGGAGCAATCATGGACCTTCTCTGCTTTGTTTGTCCACACAGGCTTCCGTTTCTCTATGAAGGCCCGTATCCCCTCCTGTCCGTCTCTGAGAGCCAGGTTATCCACCATGACACGAGATGCTGTGGCGTAGGCCGCATCCCGCCCCTGGGCCATCTGTCTGGGACAGTAATGAAATGATGATTAAATTATATATAAAACTACACATGTATATAGTAATTATCTTTCAAGAGGAAAATGACAGTCTTTTGCTGTCTTTATGCATGCAAGTGTATCAGTGGTTATCCACTCAAACCAACAAAAACATTGAAACGTAATGCAAACAAGGAATGAATACATGGTAGGCAGAAGGGTTGAGTGCTACAGTGTGGTAAAACATCTGTGGAGTGAGACACACCTGTGGAAGGTGGCCTTGCCAAGGGCTACAACGGGCCGGCTGGCCTGACAGACCCGCCGTGCGATGGCTAAAGTCTCCTCCTCTAGACGCTCCTCAGGAACCACCTTACTGACCAGCCCGTGCAGCAAAGCATCCTGGGCCGAGATCGGGTTTCCTGTGAACAGCATCTCCATGGCTACCTGTAAAATATCAGAATATATCAGTTACACAGAGTGTGTCTGTCTGTCTGTGTGTGTGTCTGTCTGTGTGTGTGTGTGTACCTTCTTGGGGACAGCTCTTCCTATTGCCACGGCCGGTGTTGAGCAGAACAGACCCACGTTGACCCCTGGCGTGGCGAAGGTGGACCTCTCTGTCACCACGGCAATGTCACAACTGGCAACAAGCTGGCATCCTGCTGCTGTGGCAACCCCATTCACCATGGCAATCACAGGCACGGGAATGTCTTGTATCAGGGTCATAACCTTCAATAACAACAAGAGGTATGAGTGTGAGAATGTGTGTGTAATGTATGTACACACAGCCATCTGAAGACCCACAAAAAGAAGACCCTATGGAGGACAATCATCCTCGACTCGAGTGACCGCCAATAATGATGATGTGTGTACAGTATATTTGTATACAGTACGATAGTGAACCTCACCTCTGAGCAGGCCTGAAACACCTTGGTGTGGTAATCTCTGCCCTGTGCTGACGTCAGCTCCTTCAGGTCATGCCCAGAGGAGAACACTGGTCCCTTAGCTGGAACACACACAACACAATACAATGGTGTTTATGAAAGGGGTGACCAACGGGGGGGTGGGCACATCTGATCATGAATCAGCGCTCTGGTGGTATCTTACCTGATATGACGATGACTCTGAGGTCGTCGCTGTCGATGTCTGCCAGAATGTTGCCTCTCAGTGAGTCCAGCATTGACAGAGACAGGGCATTCCTCTTCTTAGGGTTGTTCAGGGTTATACTCCTGCACATGCAATTACACTGTTACAGTAGCAAGAATCATTTAAAGGAGAACAAAAATCTATGCACAGTACCAATCAATACACTGTGTACCTGAAGTGTAATAGTGAGACTTTTATAGGACATACTGCTTACTAGCTAGATACACCATTTAACGTTTCAGGTGATCAGTTTTGCAATTAAAGGGGATGGAAGCGCGTGCCCAAAATGGACAGCTTCTGTACAATGCGCGCGACATGGGCACACCTTTTGCAAAAGAGTCGCCCGACCAATGCAGAGGTTCTTTGACCACAGGAATCAAACACTGACATTGTAGTCAAGCTAGCTATCTAGATAGCTTTGTTAGTTTGCTGACAACTTGCATACCTTATTCCATTGTTTTGACGTCTGACAGTCAGTGGCTCCGCTGGAGTTTGCGTGCAAAGTGACCTTGACCTAGCTAGACGTGTAAACATGCTGAGTTGGACAACTTTAGCAGCTCGGTAAAACAAATTTCGAGCCATGTTTTGACTGTCCTTACATCAACATTTGGGTCATAGGTTGAAAACCAACATTCCATTGGTGTATAGCGCCTTCTACTGTTTGGGAGTGACAAAACTCAAAACCAAAACATTGTCATACTTCCCTTCGGGTTAATGGATTATTAATTGACTAACTTTATATTGAATGCAACTACTACATGTATTATGTCATAACACAATACCATTTCAGAATAGCTGTTTTGTAACAAGCGCATCAATGCAAAATCACAAACTATCAAAATTAGTGAATTCATATTTCACATTTATTGGTCCTACCCATAGGATTCAGCGCCTATTTGATGTTCTTGACATAAATGTCCTGAACTTATTTTATAAGGATACAAATTGTAGCCTCCGGTCAAGAAATTCCTTGTAAACTGCCAGATGTAGCCGACAATGTGCTCTGCGCCTGCGTACTAGTCTGTGTGGCACTTTTGCGGTGACGTGACGAGCTTGCTGTCAAGAAGGAAAAGGGCATCCTTCTGAAAAATCTGAAATACAGACACGAACAGAAAAAGGTTAATAAAACAGACTAAATTAGTATCAACTTCCTGATACATGTAATTAATTTCAGCGCATTTCCTCTGTATAGGTAAGCCTTTTTGCTTTTCCCCTGTTTGTTTAGCTAGCTTGTACTAGCCAGCTATGTTATCTCGTGCTATCATCCAAGCTGTTTATGTGGCTAGGTTGCCTTGCCAGAATAACATTTTGACATAAATGTGATAATGGTAATACAAATAACAAATATTTAAAAGCGGGATTTAACGCAGTTATTTTATCACTTCCTTATCAAATTCGTTTTTCAGTTTGCTACCCATTCTATTGGTGTTAAAAAGTTGGTAGAAAATATCTATCCACCAAGACGCAAGACAGTAGTGACCAGGTTCTGACAGTAGATATATATACATACGGATATCTAACGCCTCAACGGTCTTTTGCCTTTGCTAGTGCCATATGGGCCTAGCCAATGAAAAAACAATAATCTATTATGGAACTATCCATATGGCATAACTACCTACATTTTCAAAATGTCCATTTATCTGAGGAGAAAGGTTGTGTTGAATTACATTGGCCAGAGAAGCAACCAGCAGCCTACTATTCACTTTTTTTATTTTTATTTTACCTTTATTTAACCAGGTAAACCAGTTGAGAACAAGTTCTCATTTACAACTGCGACCTGGCCAAGATAAAGCATAGCAGTGCGATAAAAACAAACACAGAGTTACATATGGGGTAAAACAAAACAAAGTCAAAAATACAACAGAAATACATATAATATACAGTGTGCAAATTTAGCAAGTTATGGAGGTAGGCAATAAAATAGGCTATAGTGCAAAATAATTACAATTAGTATTAACACTGGAATGATAGATGTGCAAGAGATGATGTGCAAATAGAGATACTGGGGTACAAATGAGCAAAATAGATAACAATATAGGGATGAGGTAGTTGGGCGGGCTAATTTCAGATGGGCTGTGTACAGGTGCAGTGATCGGTAAGGTGCTCTGACAACTGATGCTTAATACTAATGCCTATGTATTTCGCAAAAGTTTCACGACTTGCTTACATTCAGCTATGATCATAAGCAGAGCTTATGCTATATCATTTAAAATAAATAAAGTCTTACACAGCAGGTATGCACTTTGATATCATATTTGTGCAGGCTTTTAGAGACATTCAACCAGACATACAATAGCACTACCTGAAAGCAACCAGATAGTGTGTGTTATTACTCAGCATACATTGTGTAGACCGCTCCTCCCCTCCTCAGCCTCTGGGTCATTGTGATAACAGAACCAAAACAAGCAATGTACGCTATCTAGTCTGTTTGAAATTAAATGTGGTTTGCATTTGACCCGGGGAGAATAGCTAGCCTATCATTTGTTTGTGTTTGTGTTGCTTGCATGAGCCAAAGAGAACAGTGACAGTCTTCCCCCTTCTCTGTCTCCTCTCTCCTTGGCTGGTCTCCACAGGGCTGATCGTAGTGGACATGGATGCCCCTCTTCCTATTTAACCAGCCCAGCCTGCCCTTCTTCACACTGCCCCAGTCTGGATGAATGGAGATGAGACATTGCAGACCCATCAGCAGCAGTGTGCAGCATGAACAGCCACACACTGGGCGACTCTCTGGGCCCTAGCCTAGCGGTGCGTATGAGCGGAGCCGCCGGTGGCTGGAGCAGTCTCTCTCTGAAGCCAGTGCCTACCGGGTGGATCCCCTCTCTGTTTCAAACCATGGTTCCTACGGGATACACCAAGCTCCAGGAGGAGCGTGGTCTGGCCATGGCCGACCTGGGGTCCAAGCCTGAGGGGAACGGCTACCGGCCTGACCCCCCACATCTGGAGGTGCGGCGGCACTCGGACCGGGTAGCGCGGACGTCCGTTAGCCTGTCAGACGGTGGGGACGTGCGATACTCTGAGACTGAGCCCATGCTCCCTGAGGGGACGCTCTCGGGGGAGGAGGGCGATGATGAGGCAAAGGAGGAAGAGGAGAGTCAGAGGCCCCCCACACGGAACATGCCCAAGGAGTCGCCCCTGGCCATGGCGCTGCAGATCGTGGTGCCTTTCCTGCTGGCTGGGTTCGGCACAGTGTCAGCAGGGATGGTGCTGGACATAGTACAGGTGTGACCGGGATGGGGAATGGTAGAGCATAGGTCCTGTTGAGACTGGGGTGATGGATGGTAGAGCATAGGTCCTGTTGAGACTGGGGTGTGGGCTAGTGCATGTGAAGTTCAAATAGGTAGAGGAGATGGATTTGGCACAGTTTAATTCAAGTGGGTTGTATTGTTTACTTATGACTCCATTTCCTGTGTAATCCAGAGTAAATGGCTGTAAGAGCTTTCAAGGTAGGTGATAAAGGGATATCTGTCTATTGACTTTGATTTTAAATTGTTAAAGGGATTCTCATAGCCACTCAGCAAATACTAGTGTTCTAGCCAGTCAAAAATGTTATAAATTGATTTGCATTTTAATGAGGGAAATAAGTATTTGACCCCCTCTCAATCAGAAAGATTTCTGGCTCCCAGGTGTCTTTTATACAGGTAACGAGCTGAGATTAGGAGCACACTCTTAAAGGGAGTGCTCCTAATCTCAGTTTGTTACCTGTATAAAAGACACCTGTCCACAGAAGCAATCAATCAATCAGATTCCAAACTCTCCACCATGGCCAAGACCAAAGAGATCTCCAAGGATGTCAGGGACAAGATTGTAGACCTACACAAGGCTGGAATGGGCTACAAGACCATCGCCAAGCAGCTTGGTGAGAAGGTGACAACAGTTGGTGCGATTATTCACAAATGGAAGAAACACAAAATAACTGTCAATCTCCCTCTGCCTGGGGCTCCATGCAAGATCTCACCTCGTGGAGTTGCAATGATCATGAGAACGGTGAGGAATCAGCCCAGAACTACACGGGAGGATCTTGTCAATGATCTCAAGGCAGCTGGGACCATAGTCACCAAGAAAACAATTGGTAACACACTACGCCGTGAAGGACTGATGCTTTGGGGGTGTTTTTCTGCTAAGGGGACAGGACAACTTCACTGCATCAAAGGGACGATGGACGGGTCATGTACCCTCAAATCTTGGGTGAGAACCTCCTTCCCTCAGCCAGGACATTGAAAATGGGTCGTGGATTGATATTCCAGCATGGCTCAAGAAGAGCACATTAAGGTCCTGGAGTGGCCTAGCCAGTCTCCAGACCTTAATCCCATAGAAAATCTGTGGAGGGAGCTGAAGGTTCGAGTTGCCAAATGTCAGCCTCGAAACCTTAATGACTTGGAGAAGATCTGCAAAGAGGAGTGGGACAAAATCCCTCCTGAGATGTGTGCAAACCTGGTGGCCAACGACAAGAAACGTCTGACCTCTGTGATTGCCAACAAGGGTTTTGCCACCAAGTACTAAGTCATGTTTTGCAGAGGGGTCAAATACTTCTTTCCCTCATTAAAATGCAAATCAATTTATAACATTTTTGACATGTGTTTTTCTGGATTTTTTTGTTGTTATTCTGTCTCTCACTGTTCAAATAAACCTACCATTAAAATTATAGACTGATCATGTCTTTGTCAGTGGGCAAACATACAAAATCAGCAGGGGATCAAATACTTTTTACCCTCACTGTAGACTTTCAACAAGAATGACGTCTGATATCCCTCTCCTCTCTTTCTCTCTCTCTCTCTTTCCCTCTATCCCACTTCCTCTCTTTCTTCTCTCGCCCTCTCTCTCGCCTCTCTCCTGTCCCCCAGCACTGGGATGCCTTTAAGTACATTACAGAGATTTTCATCCTGGTTCCGGCTCTGCTGGGCCTGAAGGGCAACCTGGAGATGACTCTCGCATCCAGACTATCCACCGCGGTAAGACACACACACACACACACACACACACACCAGCTTTTAAATACTGTTCAAACACACTTCTGCACACACACACCATCAAAAAGTATTTGCACATTCTGGATACAACACACTTCCACATGCTCTTCCACATGCTCTACTGCACCATAGCTATTTGAGAGCCTCCGCTTCTCTTACAAAGCCTGTTTTAAGATGTATATTAAGGTGGCTTCCTGGTTTAGGAGTTATGATGTCATTATTTTGAGTTACAGGATTAAAGACCATCATACATAGTAGTTATGTAGCATGTAGTAGTGGTTATGTAGCATGTAGTAGTGGTTATGTGGATGACGTTGGTTATACATAGTGGTAATGTCTCTAGTTTTACCTGAGACAGGCACTGCAGACTAAAGTAGTTTATCATGCTGGCTGTTGTCATGCCTGGGCTTGTCTTTATAGGCTTTTGTCTGGTAGGCCATATATCAGCCAGCAAATCTCTACTCCCAACATATCATTACTAGTCTCGTATTATCCTCTTTGTCAGGTGAAATGAGATGGTAGGGAACAGGGTGTACCTTACAAAGACACAACTTCCTTAGTAGGCTAAACCCCCCCAAGGAAAATGGTAATCTTTACTATCTTATATAATGGATTTTGCCTGGTGCCCCTTTGAAACTTCCATGCTTCTTTACCATGTTAAGATATGGTTAGAAGTTAAGCTATTAGTCTGTGGAGTTGTGTCCACTGCTGTAGAATAGCCTCTCACCCCAGGATCTAAGTCTTAAGAGCTTGTGAAACAGGATTTATATGAGAGAAATCTGCTGAGGCAGCGGCCTGTCTAGTTTTACCTATCATGGCTTCCCACCCCATCCCTCCTTTCCCTATGGAGTGAAGGAAGAAGGGAGGTTGTGTTTCCACTATAGGGATGGGCTGCTGGAATGGGCTGCAGACAGAACAGTGAACAGGCAGTCTGATGGCAAATTTGACGCTCCACCTCGATCTGAGAGCGCAAACAAGCTCAGAGAGAGAGAGAGAGAGAGAGAGAGGAATGAAGGGAGGGGGGAGAGGATACTCTGGAGGAAAGAGAAATGGAGGGGCAGAGGGTTTAGAGGGATTTAGAGAAAATAACTATTTTCTTGAAGGGAGGACAGTAGTGCCTGGGGCATGGATTTGATTGATGGACTGTTCTGTCCAGCAATTGTTTTTTAGATTCTTGTCTTTGGTTCAGAATCTAGTGTAAAACTTGTCATGTAACTGCAAAGAAAACAATCTCACTTCATCATATTTAATCTCTAACATATCTCACGTTCTCTCTCTCTCTCTCGTTTACACATACACACTCTCTCACACAGCATTACACTCTGGTTCTCCCATCTTCCTTCCTCGCTTTTTTCCTCCCTCTCTTTCTCCCCCTATTCAAATTATGTGGGGTCGGAGAAGTAGATGAAGTGACGGGACAGAATTCTCTCTTTGTTCAGTTTGGCCAGTTCCTCCTCTTTCCTCACAGATACACATTCACATCATTCTGTTCGGTCTCACACAGAGAAACTCAGTGTTGTGTTTCACTTGTTCCCTCAGCTCACTCCTTGTTCTCAAAACTAGAAACTGCTAAACTCTGCATACTTTTGCTAAGAAAACAAGAACAGTCACAAACCCTCCAATCTGAAACAATGCACTCAATTGAACATTGTGTTTAATTGAGTTGAATCATATTAGTTTGTAATCTGATGAACGGTGCCTACAAACTGTTCTAAGTAGTTTTTTATCTGTTTTGGTCTGTCCCTGTGCAGGTGAATGTGGGGAAGATGGACTCTCCCATAGAGAAGTGGAATCTGATCATAGGAAACCTGGCGCTAAAGCAGGTAAACACACACCACATAATAATAATAATAATAATAATAATAATAATAATATAATATGCCATTTAGCAGACGCTTTTATCCAAAGCGACTTACAGTCATGTGTGCATACATTTTTAGGTATGGGTGGTCCCGGGGATCGAACCCACTACCCTGGCATTACAAGCGCCATGCTCTACCAATTGAGCTACAGAGGACACACACACACACACACACACACAATGTCAGCTTCATAGACAGGAGCAATGTTACCTCATAAAAAATTTGCCACTGAGCAAATTTCAGGGCAAACTTGAACTTTGTGAAAATTCTGTGCAACTTCCACCGTGCGTTTACTGTGAACACTGAGGCTGTACCCACTTTAAGTTACAGTTTTAACAGTGGCCAAGTAGGTTACTATGGCTATTTGATCTACCGGGGTGGCCTACCATAAAAAACAATGGAGAAAATGCATCCCATAACATTTTAACATGGAAATAGCTGTTATATCATTCAGCCTACAGTAGCAGCCAATGTGTGGTGTTCAATGTAGGCCTACATTCCATGAGACTTAAAAAAACATGCAGGGCTTGACATTAATCTGTTTATCCACTTGTCCTTCAGACAAGGAGGTGACTGAAAATGTTGTTGTTTGATGCAGGAAACCAATTTACAAAATAAAATGTGTTATTATTCCCATAACATTATTACGGAGAATCAGACAAATTATGCTACCCTGTGCCTATTGGCTACTTAGCTTATTCAAGCCTGTCTCAAAATACAACACTGTCTCTTAATAAATAAAAAATGCTCTTTACCTGACTCGCTTTTCAAAGATGTCTATGTATACGTTTTGTGCTCTTGTAGGAAGCAATCACACCCATATTGCTAACTACAAATTATCTATAACTGGGCTAATAACTCACTAACTAACAAAGGATATTAACAAAATGTGCACACGTGTGCTACATTCAATTCTCGCTTTGATCTCAAAACATCTGCTCACGACCGCTAATGCTGTAAACACAGTCCAGTTCAAAGTAAATGGCACAGATTAATATATGGCAATGGTCTATTTGCATGTAGGCCTACTGCAACTCTGATTGGTTATGCTGCATAGGTCTGTGTAGAGTACGGGCTGAGTCGTGCGTGTCAATGCAATAGAATCCTACTCCAATGCGTTCTGCCTACAACAAAATATATTGCATAGTTAGTTTTGTTTCGGTATGTTGCGTTGAAAGGGGCTAATAATGCGTTGATACGATCACAATTGCCACAGTAAAGGGAAACGTTGATACAGTGAGGGAAAAAAGTATTTGATCCCCTGCTGATTTTATACGTTTGCCCACTGACAAAGAAATGATCAGTCTATAATTTTAATGGTAGGTTTATTTGAACAGTGAGAGACAGAATAACAACAAAAAAATCCAGAAAAATGCATGTCAAAAATGTTATAAATTGATTTGCATTTTAATGAGGGAAGTAAGTATTTGACCCCTCTGCAAAATATGACTTAGTACTTGGTGGCAAAACCCTTGTTGGCAATCACAGAGGTCAGACGTTTCTTGTAGTTTGCACACATCTCAGGAGGGATTTTGTTCCACTCCTCTTTGCAGATCTTCTCCAAGTCATTAAGGTTTCGAGGCTGACGTTTGGCAACTCGAACCTTCAGCTACCTCCACAGATTTTCTATGGGATTAAGGTCTAGAGACTGGCTAGGCCACTCCAGGACCTTAATGTGCTCTTCTTGAGCCACTCCTTTGTTGCCTTGGCCGTGTGTTTTGGGTCATTGTCATGCTGGAATACCCATCCACAACCCATTTTCAATGCCCTGGCTGAGGGAAGGAGGTTCTCACGCAAGATTTGACAGTACATGGCCCCGTCCATCGTCCCTTTGATGCGGTGAAGTTGTCCTGTCCTCTTAGCAGAAAAACACCCCCAAAGCATAATGTTTCCACATCCATGTTTGACGGTGGGGATGGTGTTCTTGGGATCATAGGCAGCATTCCTCCTCCTCCAAACACAGCGAGTTGAGTTGATGCCAAAGAGCTCCATTTTGGTCTCATCTGACCACAACACTTTCACCCAGTTCTCCTCTGAATCATTCAGATGGTCATTGGCAAACTTCAGATGGGCATGTATATGTGCTTTCTTGAGCAGGGGGACCTTGCGGGCGATGCAGGATTTCAGTCCTTCACGGCGTAGTGTGTTACCAATTGTTTTCTTGGTGACTATGGTCCCAGCTGCCTTGAGATCATTGACAAGATCCTCCCGTGTAGTTCTGGGCTGATTCCTCTCCATTCTCATGATCATTGCGACTCCACGAGGTGAGATCTTGCATGGAGCCCCAGGCCGAGGGAGATTGACAGTTCTTTTGTGTTTCTTCCATTTGCAAATAATCGCACCAACTGTTGCCACCTTCTCACCAAGCTGCTTGGCAATGGTCTTGTAACCCATTCCAGCCTTGTGTAGGTCTACAATCTTGTCCCTGACATCCTTGGAAAGTTTGGAATCTGATTGTTTGATTGCTTCTGTGGACAGGTGTCTTTTATACAGGTAACAAGCTGAGATTAGGAGCACTCCCTTTAAGAGTGTGCTCCTAATCTCAGCTCGTTACCTGTATAAAATACACCTGGGAGCCAGAAATCTTTCTGATTGAGAGGGGGTCAAATACTTATTTCCCTCATAAAATGCAAATCAATTCATACAATTTTTGACATGCGTATTTCTGGATTTTTTTTGCAAATAAATTTATAACTCTTTTTTTTTTTTCTGTCTCTCACTGTTCAAATAAGCCTACCATTAAAATTATAGACTGATCATTTCTTTGTCAGTGGGCAAACGTACAAAATCAGCAGGGGATCAAATACGCTTTTCCCTCACTGTAGTGGTAACAGGGTAAACTCTAGAACAGTGGTCACCAACCTTTTCTGAGTAAAGATCAAAATGCACTCAGATTTTTATTTCTCTTGCATTTCATAGATATAACAATTTGTTGCTTCAGGTCCTGAGCTACAGGCAGTTAGATTTGGGTATGTCATTTTAGGCGAAAATTGAATAAAAGGGTCAGATCCTTAAGAGGTTAACCAATTAAAATCAGTACTGTAGCAATGATGTTTGTGCAGTAAGCTATAGGCCCAATACATTATCACCGCATATTGGCTTTGCTTGAATTGCCCTGCCAATGCATTGCTTTTCAGGCCATTTCAAAATTAATTATATTTCAAAATTTGAGGTAGGCTATATGATCACACCGGTAATAGATCCGTTGTTGTATTACTTGTGAGGCACATTTTAAATAATTAGCTTTTTATTTTACTGGGCTGATTGATGGTGCCTGCATTTGATGGTCAGTCTCAGCGGAGGGAGAGAGCATCAGACTGAGGGTCCGCCTCTCAGCATCCGTCCACTCTCCCTTTCTTCCACTGACCAAAAAGGGAGAACATCTTCCAGCTGATGGCGAAACTCGAGTCGCACAGCATTATTTCTGCCTCATTCACACGTTCATGTTGTTCCTCCTATGAACAGAGAAAGTATTGATATTAGATACACTTTGCTACTCATTCAATACTGCTGCAGTGCTGAATGGCTATGTTGACAGTGCTGAGTAAGAACTTAAACAAGAACTCACTCTTAAAAACAGCAGCTCTTTGCTGTATTCATTGACAGTCTCTCTCTAGTCATGATTTTAAACGTTTTGAAGTCTCACAGTATCAACTTTGCTGCAGCTTTCTTTTATGCCTGCTAGTTACTGCAGACGGTAATCTGAGCCATCCGATTGGCCAGCAGTAGGTAGCCTAATAGTGCACTTGATTTGCTCGCCGGGCCCGCCGGGAAGGCAGAGTTTGTACCTTTTAGATACATGAAATGGTTCAAAATGGCAACAGTTCGCCTACCCGACACGCAGGGCAGCTGAATCAGGTGCACCTACCGTCAAAAGCCCGAGACGAAGAAAAAATAAAAATAGGAACACAAGGCTTTATCGTTGGGTTTTTACAGAAATGTTTGGCGATCAAATAGGAATGCCTTGGAGATCGACCAGTCGATCGCGATCGACCAGTTGGTGACCACTGCTCTAGAAAGTTGAGTGAAGTTCAATTTCGTGCTTCTCTCGGTGAGCTAATATTTGTTCTGCGCGGCAGTCCGGGGGGATCTTCGTGCCCACGTGCAATTTAGAGGGAACATTGGCGAGCTGTTGGATTTGTGCCATTATCTCCATATGAATCTGTCTATCTGCGTAGTATGTGTACTTCTGGTTAGTACTTTTGGTAATTATTGACTGAGTGACTGATAGTGTTAAAGCACACAGTGTTTAATGGCCCCTTGAGGAAGTGTCCTCAATGTTGATAGTGTATCATATAATAGGAAAACATTGTTAGAAAAGCAGTTTTATGTTATTCCTGTTAACACTGCCCCAACACCTCTCCCTTTCTCTCAATTGAACGAGAGGAAGGATGCACAAGAGGAGAGTCCGGAAGATAGAGGGAGAGAGAGAGCCAGAGAGAGAGAGAGAAGAAGAGAGAGAGAGAGAGAGAGAGGAGAAGAATGAGATCGAGAGAGAGAGAGAGAGAGAGAGAGAAGAGGCGGCGAGAGCGAGAGAGCCGAAGAAGCGAGAGAGAGAGCGAGAGAGATAACGAGAGAGAGAAGAATAGAGAGAGAGAGCGAGAGCGAGCGCAGAGAGAGAGCAAGTAACCGAGAGCGAGCTCGATCCTACTCTCTCTCTCTCCTACTTCTCTCTCTCTCTCTCTCTCTCTCTCTCTCTCTCTCTCCTACTCTCACTCTAGGTACAGGCTACAGTAGTAGGTTTCCTGGCGGCGGTGGCAGCGGTGGTTCTGGGTTGGATCCCAGAGGGGAAGTTCCAGATGAGTCATGCCGTGCTGCTCTGCTCTGCCAGCGTGGCTACTGCCTTCATAGCCTCTATGTTGCAGGGTACAGACACACACAGCTAGATAAGCACACACACATACTCTGATATGGGATAGGCACAGTCAGACAGTCAAACAGTCAAAGCCCCACCTCATAACACATATTATCACCTACTGCTGATGGGTCTCATGCTATACATTAGTAGCAAACACACACATGGATGGTTGAGATATGTGCAGGCATGTCCCCCTGACCTCTGTACCCTCTGAACCCCAGGCTTCATCATGGTGGGGGTGATCGTGGGCTCCAAGAAGACGGGCATCAACCCCGACAACGTGGCTACGCCCATCGCCGCCAGCTTCGGTGACCTCATCACCCTGGCCATCCTGGCCTGGATCAGCCAGGGGCTCTACAACTGCCTGGGTAAGAGGAGGAAGGTTTGCACTGGATATTTCCAGATGGTAATAAAAGACACAAAACCAGTAAACTATTTTTTACACTCTATATTGAGTTCACAATCCTTCACATTATCCTTCCTCTTTTTATGTTTCATTTCCTCTTGAAAAAAGGTGAAAATGCTCAATAAATCTGGCCAACAGTGTAAAGATATGGTCCATTTGGAATCAGACTGTGCATCTTTCAACCACTAGATGGCGCTCTTACGCAGTTATTTATTGTCATTACTGGTAGTTCATCAGAACAGACCATATCTTTCTTTCCTTCTCTCTCCATAGTCCATATTTAATTCATGCCCAGCCTCACACGCGCTTCCTCGCGTTACATTACCCAACACAGTGGACCAGCAAGCGTTTCCTTTGGAAAGTGTAGCTAACTAACCATGACGTGTCTGAGCCCTATGAAACAAGCATTCATCAACAGACCAGAGACTAAAAATCTATGAAAGGCTACAGTAAAACCTCTGAGATAATTTAATAGAGGAGTTGTTCATATTTTCATACCAGCTCAGTGCAGTAAATCTGTCTGGCCTTGCCTTGCCTGGTGGTGTAGCACAGGCTGTGTCCCAAACGGCACCCTATGCCCTATGGGCCCTGGTCAAAAGTAGTGCACTACATAGGGAATAGGGTGCCGTTTGGGACGTAGCCACAGAGGACAGTGTCTCTGTTGTAAGGGCCAGCCGTGTCCGTCCCGTCCACTGTGTTCTGCCTTATTGGACTAATGTGCCGTTTACTCAGCTAAAGTTAATCATTTTAGCCTGGTGTACACAGATATCCAGGGGACTATATATACACACAACCAAGGCCACGGGCCACGGTTGGCTACTGCAAACCTTTTATTTTAAGACCTACAGTTGAAACGTGGAGAGGGAATGGCGAACCACAATGGCACCCAGAGCCAAGCCTAAACCCAGGGACTGGCGGCTATACCTGGGCCATCATGACTGGGACTATTAACCAATTCTACCCACTGGGACGACATAGAGCTCCTTCTCTCTGTTTTATATCTATGTCTTCAGGGGGTTTATCATGAGGGCTGTTAAGTGTCTGGAATGGGATCATGGTGAGGGGAACATCTGGTAACCAGAGGGGGATGATTGAGTTACATCTCACTACTAGACACTATAACCAGAGGGGGATGATCATCTCACTACTAGACACTATAACCAGAGGGGGATGATCATCTCACTACTAGACACTATAACCAGAGGGGGATGATCTTCTCACTACTAGACACTATAACCAGAGGGGGATGATCATCTCACTACTAGACACTATAACCAGAGGGGGGTGATCATCTCACTACTAGACACTATAACCAGAGGGGGATGATCTTTTCACTACTAGACACTATAACCAGAGGGGGATGATCATCTCACTACTAGACACTATAACCAGAGGGGGATGATCTTTTCACTACTTGACACTATAACCAGAGGGGGGTGATCATCTCACTACTAGACACTATAACCAGAGGGGGATGATCATCTCACTACTAGACACTATAACCAGAGGGGGATGATCATCTCACTACTAGACACTATAACCAGAGGGGGATGATCTTTTCACTACTAGACACTATAACCAGAGGGGGATGATCATCTCACTACTAGACACTATAACCAGAGGGGGATGATCTTTTCACTACTTGACACTATAACCAGAGGGGGATGATCATCTCACTACTAGACACTATAACCAGAGGGGGATGATCATCTCACTACTAGACACTATAACCAGAGGGGGATGATCATCTCACTACTAGACACTGTAACCAGAGGGGGATGATCATCTCACTACTAGACACTATAACTAGAGGGGGATGATCATCTCACTACTAGACACTATAACCAGAGGGGGATGATCATCTCACTACTAGACACTATAACCAGAGGGGGATGATCATCTCACTACTAGACACTATAACCAGAGGGGGATGATCATCTCACTACTAGACACTATAACCAGAGGGGGATGATCATCTCACTACTAGACAATATAACCAGAGGGGATGATCATCTCACTACTAGACACTATAACCAGAGGGGGATGATCATCTCACTACTAGACACTATAACCAGAGGGGAATGATCATCTCACTACTAGACACTATAACCAGAGGGGGATGATCATCTCACTACTAGACACTATAACCAGAGGGGGATGATCATCTCACTACTAGACACTATAACCAGAGGGGGATGATCATCTCACTACTAGACACTATAACCAGAGGGGGATGATCATCTCACTACTAGACACTATAACCAGAGGGGGATGATCTTTTCACTACTAGACACTATAACCAGAGGGGGATGATCATCTCACTACTAGACACTATAACCAGAGGGGGATGATCTTTTCACTACTTGACACTATAACCAGAGGGGGATGATCATCTCACTACTAGACACTATAACCAGAGGGGGATGATCATCTCACTACTAGACACTATAACCAGAGGGGGGTGATCATCTCACTACTAGACACTGTAACCAGAGGGGGATGATCATCTCACTACTAGACACTATAACCAGAGGGGGATGATCATCTCACTACTAGACACTATAACCAGAGGGGGATGATCATCTCACTACTAGACACTATAACCAGAGGGGGATGATCATCTCACTACTAGACACTATAACCAGAGGGGGATGATCATCTCACTACTAGACACTATAACCAGAGGGGGATGATCATCTCACTACTAGACAATATAACCAGAGGGGATGATCATCTCACTACTAGACACTATAACCAGAGGGGGATGATCATCTCACTACTAGACACTATAACCAGAGGGGAATGATCATCTCACTACTAGACACTATAACCAGAGGGGGATGATCATCTCACTACTAGACACTATAACCAGAGGGGGATGATCATCTCACTACTAGACACTATAACCAGAGGGGGATGATCATCTCACTACTAGACATTAAGCAGGTGTTTTCCCCTTCTCTATTTCTCCAAAATGACTGATTCAGTGCTTTAATAATCATTAGTGATTCAGTGCTTTAATAATCAATTAGTGATTCAGTGCTATAATAATCAATTAGTGATTCAGTGCTATAATAATCATTAGAGTGATTCAGTGCTATAATAATCAATTAGTGATTCGGTGCTATAATAATCATTAGAGTGATTCAGTGCTTTAATAATCATTAGTGATTCAGTGCTTTAATAATCATTAGTGATTCAGTGCTTTAATAATCATTAGTGATTCAGTGCTTTAATAATCAATTAGTGATTCAGTGCTATAATAATCATTAGAGTGATTCAGTGCTATAATAATCATTAGTGATTCAGTGCTATAATAATCATTAGAGTGATTCAGTGCTATAATAATCATTAGGGTGATTCAGTGCTATAATAATCATTAGTGTGATTCAGTGCTATAATAATCATTAGGGTGATTCAGTACTATAATAATCATTAGTGTGATTCAGTGCTATAATAATCATTCGAGTTTGGCCGAAGAGGAAGTGTGTGTGTGTACATTCAAATTTCAGTATATAGTAGATCCATCCAAGGATAGTGTCTTGATAGTGAGTGATGATCTGTTTCTCAGGTCTATAAGTTAGATATGTCCTGTTCTGTAGCTACTGTACTGAGTCATACAAATACAGGACTTCTCCTTTGGTTTGTTATGGATCTCTGTTTTCTTGCTCCCTGCCCTGTGTCACGCTGTCTTTCCTGGGAAGAGGAGGGACAGTATCTCCCCCCCTGCCCTGTGTCACGCTGTCTTTCCTGGGAAGAGGAGGGACAGTATCTCCCCCCCTGCCCTGTGTCACGCTGTCTTTCCTGGGAAGAGGAGGGACAGTATCTCCCCCCCTGCCCTGTGTCACGCTGTCTTTCCTGGGAAGAGGAGGGACAGTATCTCCCCCCCTGCCCTGTGTCACGCTTTCAGTATCCCCCCCTGCCCTGTGTCACGCTTTCAGTATCCCCCCCCCCCCCCCCCCCCCCCCCCCCCCGCCCTGTGTCACGCTGTCTTTCCTGGGGAGAGGAGGGACAGTATCTCCCCCCCTCCTCTTGCAGCTGAAGCTGATAAATGGTGTTTGTTGTTGTAACTCCCACCAGTAGGTTGCCTCTTTATTTGGGATTACATCTGTTTTTAACTCCTCCCTTTCCTCTCTGTCTCTCTGTTTTTTTTTTTACCCCCTTTTTCTCCCCAATTTTGATCTTGTCTCATGTATTTTATTCCTCTTCTGTTAGTTTTAAATTCTGCATCGTTGGGAAAGGTTCTTAAGCATGCATTTCACTGTAAAGTCTGCACCAGTTGTATTCGGCGCATGTGATAAATACAATTTGATTTGTCAATCTCTCTCTCGCTCTGTCTGTCTGTTTGTCTGTCTCTGTATGTAGACTCTCACCCGTACGTGTCGTCCCTGGTGTGTGCCTTCTTCCTGTCTCTGACTCCAGTGTGGGTGGTGATCTCCTCCAAACACCCGGCCAGCCGCACCCTGCTCTACTCCGGCTGGGAGCCTGTCATCACTGCCATGGTCATCAGCAGGTGTGGATGCACTCACTCACTATCATAGAGAAATAGCAACAGACTATTGTACATTCACATGATGAGAATGAGACCACCATTTAATGTGTGAATGTTCTGTGCTCTGCAGTATCGGAGGACTCATCTTGGACAAAACAGTGTCTGACCCGAACCTGGCTGGCATCGTGGTGTACACCCCTGTCATTAACGGTGAGACACAATATCACTGACTGATTAAAGACACACTGTGTGGGTTTACAATGTGACTGATACAGTGTGTAGGTTTACAATGTGACTGACACACTGTGGGTTTACAATGTGACTGACACACTGTGGGTTTACAATGTGACTGACACACTGTGTGGGTTTACAATGTGACTGACAATGTGCACCAAACTAAACTAAACACAAACCTATCTGTCTCTGTATAACTGCTAATGCCACCCTCCTCCCATCCTTACCGGGGGACCGTTGCCAAGGCCGTTGCTGGCATTTCGACAACCAGAGATCAGCTTTTAATTAAACATTGTTAATGAGAGACATTTAACCAAATGGAAGACGACTGTGTGCCTCTTAATCAATGTTTCTGCCGAGATGTCTACAAATCATGAAATGGCTGGGTGATCTGGGAAGTGTGTATGTGTGTGTGTGTCAGCGTGTGTAGGGGGACCACACAGACAAATGACTCTGGGGCTAGTAAAGAGAGGTTTCATCACCAACCCTGCAACTATCTGGGATTTACAACAAATGGAGGTGGTAACTATCCTATAGGGAGGAGATGACTAGACTGAGCCTTTGATGCTTTCACTCTGAACATGCACAGTTCCTCGCTTCAAAACTAGAGACAGAATATAAGAAGGGAGGAGATGAGTGAAGCTGGTAGAGGGGAGGAGAGGGGAGGAGAGAGCTGAGAACTGAATTGGGGGAATGGAAGGATGGGAGAGGGAAATGAGACTGGAATGGGAGAAAGGAAAATAGAGAGGAAATGAGGAGAGGCATGCAGTCTGTTGCCCCAGAGCTACTCAGATGGGGTGGGAGACGGGACCCCCTGTGGTCTACCCCCCCCCCTCCCTCCGTCAGACCCAGTGACCCACATAGCCCCCCTGCTGAGGTGTAACCACCATACTCCCCAGACCTCTGGAGGGGCGAGAGGTGAGGGAGAAGGGGGATTGAGTGGTGGACAGGAGATGGATGAGAGGTGGAATGAGGAGGGTGGGGCATTCTATTTAGCCGCAACATGGAGAAGTTAAATGTCTCCCTGTCTCTCCACTGACAACAAAGATTGGATTAAGTGACCATAACCAGGCAGCAGAGGTGTCTGTCCTCATTTAGGCCTGCCTGATCAGGATAACAAGCACAGGAGGGGAGATGAGCCCAGCTACCCCAAAATATACCCCTCCCCAAAACACAACCCCTTTGGGACTGTGCCTCTTTGGGTACTTTTGGAATGCCCAAACTCTCTTTCTGTCTCACTGACCACAGCCTCTCTCCTCTCCTCCTCTACTTTCTGTCAGTGTTGTCTGTCTCATACACTATTCTGGGTTGGAGTGGTTGTCTGGTCTGCCCACCTGGAAGCTGTGAGTGTTTGTACATGAGCCATACTGCATGGCTAGACTACTCTGAGTCATCAGACTGAGAGTAGCGTGTGTGTGGATATAAATAGCCTTGTCCTGTTGTTCTCATGATAAATGTTCCTCTGCTTGATAGAAATTACAGTCTACATGAGGAAGCTGAGCAGAATTAAATGGGGCACGCTGTCAGTCTCTTTTTTCCCTCTCTCCCTCTCTCTCCCCCCCCCCCCCCCCCCCTCTCCTTTTATCTCTTTCCCCATACTTTCCCTGTCTTTGTCTATCCCCACCTCTCTCTCTCTCTCTCTCTCTCTCTCTCTCTCTCTCTCTCTGTGTGTAATGCCGTTTTCCCACACAGTAATATGTATTCATTGTGTCTCAGACTTTGTCGATGCATCAAAGGCCAGGCTGATGTGTTGAGTAATGCACTGAGACACAACACAGCCTGGCTGCATTCCAAACCAAAACTCACACCCTTCCCTCTGTCCTAATGGATATGGAAGGACTTGATATGTGAAAGTACTATGACAGAAACTACAGTACACCCCCTGCCCTTTGAAGGGAGAGGTTGTGCTACCTCAGGTCTGTGAGTGGAAGGCATTAACTGTTTAGGGAAGGATACAAATATGGGTCCTCACATTTCTCTCTTACCCTAACTTCTGTTCTATTCTCAGCTGCCTACAATCAGCTCCAACCCTAAGCCTGCCTGTTCTGTCTGTTCTCCAGGTATTGGGGGGAACCTAGTAGCTATCCAGTCCAGCCGCATCTCCACTCACCTGCACTTCCACAGTGCTCCTGGGGAGGTACCAGAGGAAGCCAAGGGCTGCTACTACCCCTGCCGCACCTTCTGTGGCACAGGTAAAGCACCTAACCAATACTCACTTAAACTGTGGAAATGTGATCTGTTTTAAACAGGGCATCCTACAGGACAGATTGCTTAGCATAGAGATATTTCTCGCCCTCTTCTCTCCCTCTCGCTGTAATTTTAAGACATAGATTGTAGGTGCTGCAGAAGGCACTATGTTAAGTCACTACCCCATAATTATCCCCAGTCAGTGTTTAGGCTGACAGATACACAGGTTATGAACCGTCTTAGCATCTATTTTATTGTTAGACTAAGTTGCACAGTTCAACTCCTCTCGTCCCTTCGTCTCCTTTCTCTCAGGAGCCAATCACCGTTCGGCCCAGGTGCTGCTCCTATTGGTGCTCCCGGGTCACCTGATCTTTCTGTACACCATCCACCTGATGAAGAGCGGCCACACCACCCTGACGCCCATCTTTATGACCGTCTACCTGGCTGCCGCCCTCTTACAGGTTAGTGGTGTGTGCGTGCGTCCGTGTTTGTGTGCGATGCGACGGTGAAGGATAGTTCCTTTGCAAACTATCCTTAGTCTGCAAGTTCCTTTTCTAACTTTGACCTTGTTCTGAGCTTGAAAGTTCACTGGCTGACATTACTTTCTATTAAAAGCTGTTATTTTGCGAGACACTACTATTATTGTGATGCTATCACAAGGGAGCTGTGTTCAGAGGCCCTCTTTCACTCTGCTTTCTTAAACATTTAAACATAAATGAACCACACATGATGAACGTGAACTTGAGATGAGAGTGCTCCTTCCTAAGGATTTTCCAGTGACATTTGAAGGAAAATCAGGTGCGGCAGGTAACCTAGCGGTTAAGAGCGTTGGGCCAGTAACGAAAGGTCGCTGGTTTGAATCCCCAAGCCGACTAGGTGAAAAATCTGTCTATGCCCCTGAGCAAGGCACTTAATCCTAATTGCTCCTGTAAGTCGCTCTGGATAAGAGCGTCTGCTAAATGACAAAAATGTTTATGTAAAAATATGTGTGTCCTAAGCATTCCTAGAGCTCTGTGGTTTTATCCCTGAAGGAGTCTGACTTGTGTGTGTTTTCTTTAACTGTTTTGATGGCATTAGGATCGATTATGGAATCAAAGGCTCAGAATGTGAATTGGTGCTTTTACTGCTATAGGTGTACCATGGCATGCCACGACTGTCTGGAATGTGTGTTATTTTCTAGGTGTGTGTTTGCTCTCCGCCTCTATTTTCTTTAAAGTGGTTTGTTGTACACAGCAAGACCTAATTGCCATTCTGGGAGTCTTGAATCTGTGGAACTTCGCTTTGATAGTCTGGGGTCAATGCTTACTACAACAGGAAGGAAGACATACAGTGGGGGAAAAAAGTATTTAGTCAGCCACCAATTGTGCAAGTTCTCCCACTTAAAAAGATGAGAGAGGCCTGTAATTTTCATCATAGGTACACGTCAACTATGACAGACAAACTGAGAATTATTTTTTCCAGAAAATCACATTGTAGGATTTTTAATGAATTTATTTGCAAATTATGGTGGAAAATAAGTATTTGGTCACCTACAAACAAGCAAGATTTCTGGCTCTCACATACCTGTCACTTCTTCTTTAAGAGGCTCCTCTGTCCTCCACTCGTTACCTGTATTAATGGCACCTGTTTGAACTTGTTATCAGTATAAAAGACACCTGTCCACAACCACAAACAGTCACACTCCAAACTCCACTATGGCCAAGACCAAAGAGCTGTCAAAGGACACCAGAAACAAAATGGTAGAACTGCAACAGGCTGGGAAGACTGAATCTGCAATAGGTAAGCAGCTTGGTTTGAAGAAATCAACTGTGGGAGCAATTATTAGGAAATGGAAGACATACAAGACCACTGATAATCTCCCTCGATCTGGTGCTCCACGCAAGATCTCACCCCGTGGGGTCAAAATGATCACAAGAACGGTGAGCAAAAATCCCAGAACCACACGGGGGGACCTAGTGAATGACCTGCAGAGAGCTGGGTCCAAAGTAACAAAGCCTACCATCAGTAACACACTACGCCGCCAGGGACTCAAATCCTGCAGTGCCAGACGTGTCCCCCACTTAAGGCAGTACATGTCCAGGCCCGTCTGAAGTTTGCTAGAGTGCATTTGGATGATCCAGAAGAGGATTGGGAGAATGTCATATGGTCAGATTAAACCAAAATATAACTTTTTGGTAAAAACTCAACTCGTCGTGTTTGGAGGACAAAGAATGCTGAGTTGCATCCAAAGAACACCATACCTACTGTGAAGCATGGGGGTGGAAACATCATGCTTTGGGGCTGTTTTTCTGCAAAGGGACCAGGACGACTGATCCGTGTAAAGGAAAGAATGAATGGGGCCATGTATCGTGAGATTTTGAGTGAAAACCTCCTTCCATCAGCAAGGGCATTGAAGCTGAAACGTGGCTGGGTCTTTCAGCATGACAATGATCCCAAACACACCGCCCGGGCAATGAAGGAGTGGCTTCGTAAGAAGCATTTCAAGGTCCTGGAGTGGCCTAGCCAGTCTCCAGATCTCAACCCCATAGAAAATCTTTGAAGGGAGTTGAAAGTCTGTGTTGCCCAGCGACAGCCCCAAAACATCACTGCTCTAGAGGAGATCTGCATGGAGGAATGGGCCAAAATACCAGCAACAGTGTGTGAAAGCCTTGTGAAGACTTACAGAAAACGTTTGACCTGTGTCATTGCCAACAAAGGGTACATAACAAAGTATTGAGAAACTTTTGTTATTGACCAAATACTTATTTTCCACCATAATTTGCAAAATGGGATTTTCTGGATTTTTTTTCCTCATTTTGTATGTCATAGTTGACGTGTACCATGATGAAAATTACAGGCCTCTCTCATCTTTTTAAGTGGGAGAACTTGCACAATTGGTGGCTGACTAAATACTTTTTTCCCCCACTGTATATGTTAGTTGCCATTACTCTTTAACTTCATTTAGTGAGCCTTTTAACACTGTAAGATACTATAAGCAGGAGGGTATATGATATCATTATTACAGTATTCATAGATTGAGAAGAGATGGGAGAGAAGAGCAGGCCATAGTTGTTTTAGAGCAGTGGTTCCCAACCAGGGGTACTAGGACCCCTGGGGGTACTTGGCCTTTCCACAGGGGGTACTTGAGGTGACTCATGAGACCATAGGTCTACTGGTAAAATGCACATGAGGTGGTACTTCAGAGGTACTCTGGGCAGAGCAAAATTCAGTTGGTGGTACAGTAACCAAAAAGGGGTGTTCAGCCGTGTGTAAATAGGTTAGCTCTGTACCTTTAAGAGAAACAATAAGCAACCCACTCTTTGCTGAAGTGAAAGTAAAGTGAAGGGACTTGTATCAGCAATGGAAACCCTCCATCCTCTTCCTCCTCATCAGAAATCTTGCTACACAACTACGCTGCGTTGTATCTCTGTGAGAGTCTTATTAATCTAGGAATCGTAATAACAGTTAACATCAACATAGGTGAGTTAAAAAAACATAATTTACCTGGACAAGTAGTAACATAAACGTCATACCGTAGCATGATCACTTGTTAAACATGTTTACCTTTGGTAAAGGTATTTTTCAAAATTAATTAGTAGAACGGGCTGATACCTATCAAATATTTAAATACAAAAGATTGGTTGGAATCATAATGTCTGGCTTGCTTGACAACTCTGAATCCTTTATTGAGACGTTTATATTTATTATAGAGAGCCAACTGAGTCCAAGAAATGGTTTATGGTTTCACCTCTGGTCTCTGTCTAGATATGGCTACCTCCAGCAGTCTTCTGTCTGAAGAGCAGTTCCTGTGTTCTATCTGTCTGGATGTGTTCACTGAGCCGGTCACCATTTCATGTGGACATAACTTCTGCAAGGCCTGTATCAGTGGATACTGGGATAGCAATGACCTGTGCCAGTGTCCATTATATAAGGGGAATTTCTACAGGAAACCTGAGCTTCGTGTTAACACAGCGTTCAGAGAGGTTGTAGAGAATTTTAAGAAGATGAGAGTCAGAGGTAAAGATGAGTCCCCTGCCAAACCAAGACAAGTGTCCTGTGACTTCTGCACTGGGACGAAGCTCAAGGCCCTGAAGTCCTGTCTGGTGTGTCAGACCTCTTACTGTGAGACTCACCTGGAGCCTCATCAGAGAGTCGCAGCCTTAAAGAGACACAAGCTGATCAACCCTGTGGAGAACCTGGAAGACAGGATGTGTAAGAAGCATGACAGACCTCTAGAGCTGTTCTGTAGGACTGACCAGACTTGTGTGTGTCGATTCTGCACTGAGACAGACCACATGACTCATGCCACGGTCCCTCTCGAGGAAGAGTGTGGAGAGAGGAAGGCTCAGCTGAGGACGACTAAGGCAGAAGTGGGGCTGATGATCCAGAAACGACTGCAGAAGGTTCAGGAAATCAAACACTCAGTAGATCTCAGCAAGAAAGATGCAGAAAGAGAGATATCAGACAGTGTGCAGGTATTCACTGATCTGGTGCGCTCCATTGAGAGAAGCCAGGCTGAGCTCATTGAGGTGATTGAGGAGAAGCAGAGAGCAGCAGAGAGGCGGGCTGAAGGGCTCATTAAAGAGCTGGAGCAGGAAATCACTGAGCTAAAGAGGAGAAGCACTGAGCTGGAGCAGCTCTCACACACTGAGGACCAGCTCCACCTCCTCCAGAGCTTCCCATCCCTGGGCACCCCTCCACCCATCAGAGACTGGTCTGAGATCAGTGTTCACAGTGATCTGTGTGTGGGGACTGTGAGGAGAGCTGTATCTCAGCTGGACGAGACACTGAATAAAGAGATTGAGAAGCTGCCTGAAGTCAAACTGAAGAGGATTCAGCAGTATGCAGTGGATGTGACTCTGGACCCTGATACAGCACATCCCTACCTCATCATGTCTGAGGATAGAAAACAAGTGAAACATGGAGATACAAAACAGGATCTCCCTGACAACCCAAAGAGGTTCAATCTTGTTGTCTGTGTATTGGGAAAGGAGGGCTTCTCCTCAGGGAGATTTTACTATGAGGTGATGGTTGAAGGAAAGACTAAGTGGGATTTAGGAGTGGCCAGAGAGTCCATCAACAGGAAGGGGGAAATCACACTGAGCTCTGAGGATGGATACTGGACTCTGTGGCTGAGGAATGGAGAATACGAGGCTCATGCTGAGCCCAGTGTCCTGCTCCACCTGAGAGAGAAGCTCCAGAAGGTGGGGGTGTTTGTGGATTATGAGGAGGGTCAGGTCTCCTTTTATGATGTGGAGGCCAGGTCTCATATCTACTCTTTCACTGACTGCACCTTTACTGATAAACTCTATCCATTGTTCTGCCCCTGTCGTAATGATGATGGTGAAAACTCTACCCCTCTGATCATCTCTCCTGTCAATGACGGACTGAGATTAACCTTAAAGCATAGTTGATGGGCATTCTTTGGAGGAGACTGCAGTGTAATATGAATGTTACAAATGGTTGTTTATGTCCTTATACTCCTTAATGATATCTGGTCTCTCTCTCATTGTTATTAAGAAAAATAAAA